GGGGAGAGCTGTCACTCTTACCTTCCAATGAAAACTGAATATTTGTTTCTCTGCAGCTTTTGATGGGTGTTCGTCAGGATGATCTGGTGAAGGTGAGAGAAAAGATTCTGGAATATAAAGCAGAGTCAGAAAAGGAAGCCCAAGACCTGTTTGTAAGTATAGGAGTAAATGTGATTATGAAAGGAACACAACTTAAAACAATGTGTAAAAATATGTTCGAAAATGCAGCTTCATCATATAAATCTTTGGATGGCATGAAGACTGATCGTGGATCCCACACTGTGACCTTGAGTGAGTTGCCATTTGTTCGCCACTGTTCAACGAAGAAAAAGTTGTGGGCCTGAAAATAGTTGTTCTTTTATGATTTTGGGGTGCTGAAAACGAAAATGACATTTAAAATGTATATTGGCTCTAGTTTTTATGATATAAGCAATCATGTGATCACGTATGGTTGAAAAAATGCATGTTGCAACTTACACTATGGAAGATTCTAGAAAGTTGCAGGCCTGAAAATAGCTGTTCTTTTATGATTTTGGGGTGTTGAAAATGAAAATGACATTTAAAATGTATATTGGCGCTAGTTTTTATGATATAAGCAATCACGTGATCACTTATGGTTGAAAAAATGCATGTTGCGACTTACACTATGGAAGATTCTAGAATATTCTAGAAATTTTGATGACGCAGTATTAGTGCCGTGTGCAAAAGCCAGAAAGCCCTATATAAGGCCAGACTTTTGAACGGTGAGGGTCAGTCAGTTGAAGACTGAGACAGTATCGTTAAACATCGTTTTACATTGTTTTTTTTACTGTAGTTATGCCTCGCACGTGTGTAAATAAAGCACTATGGGAAAAAGAGATCAAGGCCAATGGACTCCGTCAATGCTGTCAGACTACTGCTGGAGCATTGCAAGAGACAATCCTTTCCTTGAATACAAAAGAAAAGTCAAGAGAAGCAAACAGGATATAAACTAAAGTCACGATTAAAGCGACGTTTAAACTTTCAGACTTTTCAACTGCATTAGGCCTACTAAGATAGTTTCTTGCTGCACAAACATAAACAATAGACTAATTAAATAAATATTTCTCATGTATAAACTATTGGCAATATAATTTGACTAAAATTTAGTAAATATTCACGGTTTGTATACATGCAGTAAGGTTAGGCACATTATCATAATATTAACAAATTACCTGTTGTGGAGAAAATTGAAATAGCTGTTGCATAAAAACCAGAGCCAATTAACACATTTAATTATTATATTTGAATTCAGCATGTTAAATTTATTAAAGGAGCCCCCGGTGGCGCAGAGGGTTAAAGCCCCGTGCCGACAGGACTGAAGACCGACAGGTCGCAGGTTCGAATCCGGGGAGAGGCGGATGAGCTCCCTCTATCAGCTCCAGCTCCTCATGCGGGGACATGAGAGAAGCCTCCCACAAGGATGATAAATCATCAAAAAATCATCCAGGAGTCCCCTGGGCAACGCCCTTGCAGACGGCCAATTCTCTCACAACAGGAGCGGTCGCTCCTGACACAACAAAAAATTTTTTTATTAAGAAACGGCACATTTCGTTTCTGCAACTGAGAAAAACTGAAAATTTGTAGAACAGTGCTCTTAGCCTCAGAGGGAGGCAAAGCCACTCACCCTCAGAATGCATCTCATCAAGAAACCCCCTGACAGATTCACCTTAGGGCCACCATAAGAGGGAACAGACTTGAAAGCAACAACAACAAGAAGAGGAAGTTTCTCCTGATTGTTTGTCATAAAGCCTCTGTTGAAATTCCAGAAGCCCTCTCTATTTTTCACTTCAGCAACTGTATCTTAATGTGATACTTGTTTACCTGCTTTTCTCTCTGCTCACTGTAGAAGCAGACAAAAACAAAAATGGAAACAACCTTACAAGAAATCAGAGAAATGCAGCAGTTTCTGGCTAAACAGGAGAAACATTTCCAGGCCCAGATGGAGGAGTTGGAGAAGCAGATTGCAAGGAAAAGAGATGAACACTTGATCTTACTTACCCGGGAACTTTCCTCTCTGGAAAGTCTCATCCAGGAGACAAAAGAGAAATGTCAGCAGCCACCAGCAGAACTGCTGCAGGTAAGACTGGACAAAAGAAACTAATTTCTGGACAAGGGAAAGCTAGATACAAAACTGTAATATTTTGGAAATCGTTTTTCTGGCATGGACAAAATCCATTACAAAAATCTGCTCTTTGGCTATTATTGAATCAATAAGGCATTGTTTTGGTTAAGCACAGCTGCCTGCATTTTGAATCTGCTCTGATGTTGTTCTAGACTCTAGGACAGGGGTCCTCAAACTAAGGCCCGAGGGCCGGATACGGCCTCCAAGGTCATTTACCTGGCCCTCGCTCAGGGTCAACCTAAGTCTGAAACGACTTGAAAGCACACAACAACAACAACAACAACAACGACAACAACAATCCTATCTTGTCAGCCAAAAGCAGGCCCACACTTCCCATTTAAATACTAATAAGTTTATATTTATTAAAATTGTTCTTCATTTTAATTATTGTATTGTTTTAAGTGTTTTTTGCACTACAAATAAGATATGTGCAGTGCGCATAGGAATTCATTCATGTTTTTTTCAAATTGTAATCCAGTCCTCCAACAGTTTGAGGGACTGTGACCTGGCCCTCTGATTAAAAACTTTGAGGACCCCTGCTCTAGAGGGTGACCTGGGCCCATTTACACAACACATATATACAGCACTGTATTTCATTTAACTGCCATGGCAAGATCCTATTGAATCCTACATTTCCAATTTAGCATGGGAGATGTAGAAGTCTCAGCCAGAGCACTCCGGTGCTTTTTTGAACGACACATCCTAGGGTTCCATAGCAATCAAAGTGAAATAACTATTAGATTTGTCTAGCCTGAAGAGGGCCCTCTAAGTCTACAACTCCACCACTGGTACAGAAGGAGTGAAAGGACCCAGCCTGATGTACTGAGAGACTATTCTATATATAGGAGCTCCCAAGATACACTGGGTGTTTGCATGAACCCTTAACCTCCTCAGAAATGTTTGGGATTCCGATTCATTTGTATTTATAGAGAATTACATGGATAAGTTAATTGAAATCAAAGCCCTTATTTAGTATTTTCATAGAACACAAACTTGTTAATAGCTGTTTCCTGTTCGTCAGCCCTGCATGTCCTGAATTTCGATTTTTCTTTTTGCTCTTTTGAGGCACTCAGGAAGGAGACTGAGGAGGGCTTGGCAGAAAGGAATTCAAATCTGAGAGTGTCTATCTGTAGGCAAGAAATTGAGATGACAGCCAATTCAAAAGGAGAACGCACCAGGGAACTCTTAACTGTCCCTTTCTCCCCTGTTACCCTCAAGGGCACATAATCTTTGCATAAGGATAGTTAAACTATTCCCAGTTTTGAAGTTGCAGAAGTGTCCTTTTGGAGGGACAGACTGCATTCTCATTCAGCGAAGAATCAGATATGTGAGCATTGACATCCCTCTTCTTTTGTTCTTCTCCCCTCTAGGATGTGAGGAATCTCTTGCAGAGGTAAGTGGGTCCCAAGCCTTTCCATTAGACATACCTAGCAGGCAGATACTGTGACCCTTTGATGCTCTGTGGAAGAAAATGAAGGACTCTAACAGGTCACAGATAAAATATTGCCTTCGTTGTGACATTATGGTACTCATCCCATAGTACCACTGCCATAGTGAGATTCTACTTATTGTTTGTTGGATTTGTTTACTCAGCAGTATTTATCCTGAAATGGCAAGCTCTCTCTGTACCTTTTTAAAAAGTGATTTTCAGGACTCTCTCTCTCTCTCTCTCTCTCTCACCCTTGCTAATCTATGTTATCAATATTTGGTAGGACAGTAGCCAATTTGGCAATAGGAACAACAACAAAAATAGGTTGGATGGCACGTGGACTCTGGCTGAGATCCTAATATCTTCCACTGCAACATTTCTACTGGACCAATCAGGATACTTGAGCTCTGAAAGGATGACAACAGTGGTTCCCTTTCCCAGAAAGACAGAAACCGGTTTAAAGAAATTTAGCATCTAATGAAGGAATGGCAGCGGTTGTGGTGGAAGAGAGCCTGTCACACAATGAGGACTAAAGTAACTATGGAAAGTGTCTCCCATGCTAAAACAACAAAACAAACAGATAACAGCATAAAATAAATGTAAGACATTATGAAATAAGAATACAGCACTGTCTAGCTGCTAAACTTGCTAACCGAAAGGTTGCAGGTTCAAATCTGGGGAGTGGCGTGAGCTCCCGCTGTTAGCTTCAGCTTCTGCCAACCTAGCAGTTTGAAAACATCCAAATGTTAGTAGAACAATAGGTATCGGTCCAGTGGGAAGGTAACAGCGCTCCATGCAGTCATGCCAGCCACATGACCTTGAAGGTGTCTACAGACAACGCCAGCTCTGCAGCTTAGAAATGGAGATGAGCACCAACCCCCAGAGTCGGACACGACTGGACTTAATGTCAGGGGAAAACCGTTACTTTTACCTACCGCACTATTGCAGTCAGGGACTTGGTGATCTTAAATGGCATGCAAGAACATCACAATCAAAAACATTTCTTGAAAGTTCTTATTAGATTAATAACTTCTGGAGTAAATTGAAAGACTTTCCAAGACAAAGGAAATCCATTCACATAATTATAAAATCATAGAGTCATAGAGTTGGAAGAGACCTCATGGGCCATCCAGTCCAACCCCCTGCCAAGAAGCAGGAAAATTGCATTCAAAGCACCCTGACAGATGGCCATCCAGCCTCTGTTTACATTTTTCCAAAGGAGGAACCTCTACCACACTTCGTGGCAGAAAGTTCCACTGCTGAACAGCTCTCACAGTCAGGAAGTTCTTCCTCATATCCAGGTGGAATCTCCTTTCTTGTAGTTTGAAGCCATTGCTCCGCGTCCTAGTCTCCAGGGCAGCAGAAAACAAGTTTGCAGTGTGATTCCATGTGTGGTCTGACCAAGGTGGAATAGAGGGGTAGCATTACTTCCCTGGATCTAGACACTAGACTCCTATTGATGCAGGCCAAAATCCCATTGGCTTTTTTTGCCACCGCATCACATTGTTGGCTCATGTTTAACTTGTTGTCCACGAGGACTCCAAGACCTTTTTCACACGTACTGTGCTCAAGCCAGCCATCGTCCCCCATTTTGTATCTTTGCATTTCATTTTTTCTGACTTAGTGGAGTATCTTGCATTTGTCACTGTTGTTAGTTTTGGCCCATCTCTCTAATCTGTTAAGATCGTTCAGAATTCTGCTCCTGTCTTCTGGAGTATTGGCTAATATGGCTATCCCTCCCAATTTGGTGTCATCTGCAAACTTGATGATCATGCCTTCTAACCCTTCGTCTAAGTCATTAATAAAGATGTTGAACAGGACTGGGCCCAGGACGGAACCCAGCGGCACTCCGCTCATCACTTCTTTCCAGGATGAAGAGGCAGCATTAGAGAGAATCGCCCTCTGGGTTCGTCTGCTTAACCAATTACAGATCCACCTCACCGTAGTTTTGCCTAGCCCACATTGGATTAGTTTGTTTGCCAGAAGGTCATGGGGACCTTCTTGAAGGCCTTACTGAAATCCTGGTATGCTACATCCACGGCATTCCCCACATCTACCCAGCTTGTAACTCTATCAAAAAAAGAGATCAGATTAGTCTGGCATGACTTGTTTTTGATAAATCCATGTTGACTATTAGCGATGACCTCATTTGTTTCTAGGTGTTTGCAGACCACTTCCTTAACAATCTTTTCCAGAATCTTGCCTGGTATTGACGTGCAGCTGACCGGATAGTAATTGTTTGGGTCATCCTTTTTTCCCTTCTTGAAGATTGGGACCACATTGGCCCTCCTCCAGTCTGCTGGAACTTCTCCCGTTCTCCAAGAACTCCAAGAACCCTCATTTCTTATCTTATTGTTTTCTTGCTTTAAATATTCTGTTATCAAAATCCCATGTTCCTATAATGGGTGATTAGTTTCTGGAGATTGATTCCTGGAGAAAGTACAAGGTGTTGGTTTTAACCTTTAAAGCCCAACATGGTTTGGGTCCAGGGAACCTACGGGATTGCCTTTATTATATAATTATTCTAATAAAAAGAATAGCTAGGCTCAAAGAGGCTGTTGTAGAGCTCATGTGGCCTCACATTAGGGCAGTGATTTTGCCTCTAAGATAAGACCTCTTCTACACTGCCATATAATCCAGATTACCAAAGCAGATAATCCAAATAATCTGCTTTGAACTGGATTATGAGTGTACACTGCCATATAATCCAGTTCAAAACAGATAATCTGGATTTTATATGACAGTGTAGAAGGGACCTAAGAAGTCCCTTTCCATAATTCTTGCACATAGCAGGTGATGGAGTGGAAGTATGAAAATTCCACACATAATGGTATTACAGAAAATATCAGGTTTCACTAGCCATTACTGGATTGGTAACAGAATATAGACTAGCTGTTCAGAGTGGTGAGTTAACATCCCTTCCTTTCAGGTGTGAAGCAAGAAAGGAGTTCAAGAAACCTGATGTTTTTCCTCTTGAGTTGAAGTGGAAGATCTTGGACTATGGAGATATAGCTCTGCTTCTGGAAGTTATCATGAAACAAGTCAGAGGTAAAGAAAATGCCTGCAAGAATAAGGAACCTGTGTCATTTAAATGTTATTTGAAGAAATACTTTCATTTCTCTCTGCTCTCCATCCCTCACAGTCCTTCTTTCTTCCTTGCTTTTTTTTCTTTGAGTGCTTCTTAGAATAAATGACCAAATATTTACTCAGTAATCTCAGTGATTTTTACAACTCTTTTATTTTCAAAATCCAGGAGCAGCCTGATCGCTAGGACTGCTGAAAGAATTCACATTAGAATTCACCTAAACAAATCTGCATACTTGCAAGGATACAGCAGTTCAGAGATTTCAGTTAAAACATGTAGATAACTATTATGTTGTTATACTTATGCATTCTTTTTGGACACAGGATTTGTAACACCTGACAATGCGACATATTACCTTTCTCCCTTTTCCTTCCACAGATGAGTTAAAATCTGGATTTACACTACAGAAAGGTAAGATTTGGAAACACAAATTCTCAAAAAGGCTTCTCAGAGAGTTGCTTGTTGGTTGTTCACTAGAGGTCCCAGTTCTGCTTGCATTTTCATTTAGAGTTCAGAAAACAAACTATTTCCATCAGTGGAGGCATAATGATGGGATTGCACTTTGACATTGCCAATACCCAAGGTTTCATGGATTCCCTGTATTTATTACTAAACTAGTTTGGGGACCCGGCAATGCCCGGGTTTAGTAATACATAATGCTATTTATTAGGAAAAAAATCTTCCTTTTTTAAATGAATGCTCCCATTAGAAAATGCATAAGGATGTGGGTGAACTACAATTCCCAGAATCATGGGTCAAGCCTTCCAAAACCCTGCCATTATTCAAAGTTGGCCATGTTGGGTCTGTGTGCCAAGTTTGGTCCAGATCCGATATCAGCTGGGTTCAGTGCTCTCTGGATAAGGGTTAATTACAACTCCCAGATTCCCAGGGCAATCACCCACAAACTCTGCCAGTATTCACAGTTGGCCATGTTGGTTCCGTGTGACAAACTTGTCCCAGATCCATCGTTTGCTGGGTTCACTGTTTTCTGGATAAGGATAAACTACAACTCCAAGATTCTCAAGGCAATCACCCCAAACCCAGCCAGTATTCACAGTTGCCCATGTTGGGTCTGTGGTCTAGATACATCGTTGGTTGGGTTCACAGTGCTCTCTAGATGTAGGTGAACTACAACTCCTATACTGCTAGAGAACCTGCATGGGATGATGCATGGAAGCCTAAATACCCCCAAAGGCATCACATTCCATTTGACATTAGAAGCTAAGCAAGGCCATCCCTGATTAATACTTGAATGGAAAGCCACCAATGAATCCTATGAGAAGGAACTGGTGAGACTACCTGTAACAGAGCAAGGGCTAAAGAGGGCCCTGGCCTTAGGCAAAAAAAAAACCTATCTGCTCCTAGGATGTTGTGGGTTTTTCAGGCTGTATGGGCATGTTCCAGCAGCATTCTCTCCTGATGTTTCACCTGCATCTGTGGCTGGCATCTTCAGAGGTTCTCTTGACAGTGAGGAAAGTGGAGTGTATATATGCCTGTGGAATGTCCAGGGTGGGAGAAAGAACCTTGTCTGTTTAAAGCAAGTGAAAATGTTCCTGTTAGCAAGCTTGAATAGCAGTGAGTAGCCATGAAGTTTGCAAAGTCAATAAGTGAAGTAGCCTGGGCTCTGTTGCCTGGAGGCATCCTCTGTTTGGGAGGTGTTAAGTGGCACTTGATTGTTTACTTGGAAGCAGGAGAACTCCACACAGCAAACACTCAACTCCCAGTTAACACTTCCCAAACAGATAGCTGATCTGTGTATACATTTCCCAGAAATGTCTGCCTGTTGAAAATACTTTACATCCTAGGATAGAAGCACACTCGTCTAACCTCTCCAAATTGTCAGGAAGGTCTTGATATGTGGAGTGTGTCTATGTGCATGTGTGTGTATATATATTCCACAGATTATATATACACTCCACTTGCTTCACTGCCAACAGAAACTCCTGATGATGCCAGCCACGGATGCAGGTAAAATGCCAGGAGAGAATGCTACTGGAACATGGCCATATAGCACGAAAGACTCACAGCAACCCACTAATTCCAGCCATGAAAGCCCTTGACAACACATATCTGCTCCTACATAAAAGAGTTCCTGTGGGAGACTGGAAGAGCACCAGCCATTTGATAACAAACAGCTGGGTAATTGAGAGGATTGTGGGATCTTTAAACATTGTTCATGTTTCATTAACTTGGAGCCCTGAACCAACCCATTCTATATGCACTAGCCCACTTCCCTATAGCCCAGATTCCCCCCTCAAGCCTATAGACAATGTTGCCCTTTCCATAGATTTTCTGGCAACCTTAAATGTTAAAGGTTTCTAGACTAGTGGTACCTCAATGAACTATATCACAGTCAAATAGTTTACAAGCTGAGAATGGATGAGAAGAAGAAAAAGGCAAGAAAGAAGGGAAACTGGGCATGATGCAAGCCCATGGTGCCCGTCTGGATGGAGGAAGGTGATGCCATAGCTCTTGCCCAATGGATCCAGCAGGAGTGTTCTCACAGGGGATTGCCAGTCTACACTATGGACCCATTCACACTGCACAATTATAGTGCTATGGTTCTGCTTTTACTGCTATGGCAACATTCTGCAGAATTCTGGGATTTGCTGTTGAGATAGAGGTATTCTGAAGTATCAGTCAGAGAGCCTCCACAAACTGCATATATGGTATAAGCAAATTTGGGAGCAAAGCAGGATTTAAATCAAAGAAAATTAACTGCAATGCATGGAAATCCTGTTGACTTGAGACTGACTGAGACTAATGGATGTGTCTAGCATGTGTTAATAATTCACCTAGATGGTGATTCTTTTTTTATCTTTTCCTCCTCTCCCCATTTTCAACAGCAACTGTAACTTTGGATCCGGACACAGCTCATGACCACCTTATCCTGTCTGAGGATCGTAAAAGTGTAACATATGGAGACGAATCTCAAAACTTGCCGGACAAACCGAAGAGGTTCAAGAAAACTTTTTCTGTCCTGGGATGTGATGGATTTACATCAGGCAGACATTTCTGGGAAATCTGTGTGGGAGAAGAGGGCCAGTGGCTGGTAGGAGTTGCCAGAAAGTCTATAGAGAGAAAGGGCGACATTGTCTTTGGGCCTAAGGGGGGAATCTGGGCTATAGGGAAGTGGGATGGCGCATATAAGGTTACTAACGATCCTGAGTTCACACCTCTGTCTCTGAACAGTGAGCTCAAAAGGGTTCGAGTGTCTGTGAACTATATTGGGGGCCAGGTGGCCTTTTACGATGCTGATACAGGAGTCCATCTCTATTCATTCTCTGGGGCTCCATTCATAGGAAAGATACTTCTTCCTTATTTTAATGTGAATAAAAAAGGGCATCTGAGAATTCCTCCTTAAGGCAGCAAAACAAGTTGACCACATGCACCCTACATCCTGCAAGATTAAGACTTTGGATTTATCTCCTTTAAAGGGCAGAGATAGTGCTTTAGTGTAGTGGTTCCCAAATTGTTCTGTGAAACCCTAGGATTCGACAAAAGCATAGTAGGGCGTAAAGCCCAACTTCAGAACAATTTAATTACAAATATTAAACAAGTTTAATATATCAGTTCTTTTTATTTATTTATTATTTATTTAGAGGTTTTCTATACCGGCCTTCTCAACCTCG